CCTTTGTGAATCGCCGACACTCTTGCTATCTTTAATTTATCAAGAAATATGCCGGTACTCAGGAGTAGATTACATACATATATGTGAGATTGGCCCACTAATTAAGTGAGAAACTGATTTTATATGCTGGGATTTTATACCATCTTCACCACAAGCACTGTTATTCTTAAGCAAGGATGGGCAGTATTTTAAATACAAGTATTTCAAATTTTCAAATTTGAAATACAAGTATTTCAAACACTTGCATTTGCATTTGTATTTAATTACAAATTGGGTAATGTATTTGACGTGTGTATTTAAATACTAAAATGTGGGTATTTCAAATACAATTGTAAATAAATACAATTTTGTGGGCGAAAATACATCCCTCAAATTTATTGTCACTGTCCATAGCAGGAAGAAAACTACGTTCTGCACAGAATGCAGTGTCTCTCAATCAAGCACAAGCGTTTAGTGACTTTGTGATTACGGTGCTAGTCCAGAGCAAGAATAGTGACGAAATCTACGTTCACGGGCAGACTGGCTAAATAAGTGCCTGTGACAACTTGTGATGCTTTCCAGCCTGATTTCCCTCCATATTTTTGCCTGGAACATTCTAAATGCGCGGGTCGTCCCTATTTTTTTTTTTTAAATTCTCTAGCTAGTGCTGGGCGTCTTGGTCGTCTCGGTTCTTTGTTGGTCTATACCAAAATGTAATCGACAAAAAAAGCTGCTTGAAGCTCTGTACTTTTTTCATCTATTACGCCCAAGCAGATTACATTTTTTTTGTGATTATATTTCTATTACGTTACTAGAGCCTCGCAGACCAACTCCCGAGTATGCGATGCAAAATTAAAATGAGATACCCAGAAACCCGTTGCAGGTGCCCTGAAGTCGCTGACACAAATTTTGAGGAATGTACATTTGGTTGTATTTGTATCTTGTATTTAAATACTTTTTTGGAAATGTAATCAGATTTGTAATTAAATACATTTTTGACAAAGTATTTTGTATCTGTATTTCGATACATATTTGCATGTATTTTGCCCATCCCTGTCCTTAAAGGGGCCCTGCAATGACCTTTTTACTAATTTTTATTTTGAACCGAACCTGGGCACACTGAACGTAGTAACTTAGTGAAACTTTTCTTTCCTCGAAATTCCTTATATTTTAGAAGTTATAGGCAAATTAAAATTACAAAAACAAGCAAAAAATAACCTCCCTCATGACGCCCTTGGTTGCTTGAGAGTGGCCGTGAACTAGAGGAGAAGTAGTGGGCTCATCGAGCGCTCACGGCTGCCGCACTCCGAGTCGACGGCGCGAGAGGGCGCTATTGAAGCGTGTTCGGGATAGGATGTATGCACCGGGCAGCCAGAGCGGCTCTCATTGCATTTGCTGCGCGATTAAAGGCTAATTCGGCATGACACTTCATTGGCCAGAAACGACAGCAAACACGGGGTAAAAATCAGTTCAGAATGGGAGCTACTTTGCGCTGCCACACTGCGAAACGACCAAAACGCAAGACAAAGCTTCCCGCCGGAGGCCTTCGGAATGCTCGGAGCCGGTCGGATGCTCCAGCCCAAACGACCGCAGCGCCGCCGCGTACATCCGGGACCTTTCCGTGTGGGCGCCTGATCCCACTACTCCTTTCTAGTATGCGCCGCCTTTTCCACCGCTTGGTGGCGGGTATGTCAACGGGTCATTTCTTGTTTCCGTACTTTATGAACTGCTTTCGTTTCTTTTCTGATCAAAAATACTGAACAAAAACTACTTTCATAAATAATTAAAATGGTTTGTGCCACTTATATTTGGCATTTCGACTAAAAAGAAACTTTTAGTGGCTCTGACCAGTAGTAAGCCCAGGACCAAAGACGTCAGATTTTGCGTGCTTTCGGTACCGTGGGTCGCCCTCGTCGGTGGAGGAGGTTTCCGCGTCGTCCGGTTAAAATATGACGCACTGATATTTGGTTACTCTCTCTATGCCTGCTGGCTTGCCCGAACCCCAAGAGACGTGGAAACAGCAAAAAAGGTGGACGCTTAAATATGATTGCAGGGCCCCTTTAAGCTTGTGTATTAGTCTGTATACTTCGGTTTCAGTAGTGGGAAACAAAAATATGGAACTCTCAATACCCGGTGAGATGCAAGATTCGTAATAACAACTACTAATGACATTGCCTGGGGAAGCACCGGACATCAAAAAGTGGGCATTAAATTTATCAGCAAGCTTAACCACTGTACAGGACATGCCTTCAATTATAAGCTCAAAAATATTTTTTCTTTCGTTTTTAGAAAGTAGGTCGTTGACATTTTTCCGCACTTTTATGGGGGTATTAAAAATATCTGCAAACTTATTTTCATGATACACATTTCATGCCTGTTTAATATCAGTGCCTAGTTTATTTCTGCTCTTTTTAAATTCAGCTAGATAATCCGGACATTTTGTTTTTATAAAAAGGGCGAAGAGCTTATCTCGTTCTGTTATTCTCCTAAGTGCGGCATCAATCCAAGGCTTTCTAGACTTCCTGAAAAAAGGTCGTATGCTGCAATGGGATCATCCAACCGAACAACGAAGCCCCAGTTTTCCTCCTCGACTAAACTTTGAAACAACATAATATTTTCATCATGACCCTATATATAATGGGTGCATGACTTGTGGGTTCTTTACATTGTGTTGAACAAGGTGGTAAAAAAATAAAAATAGGTAAATGGTCACTAAGATCCGATAGCAGAACACCCGCCTCTAGCTCGTTCACTTGATAGTTCGTAAAGCACAGGTCAAGCAAGGTCTGAGACATTTCCGTCACCCTGGTCGGGAGATGAATTACATTTTCATGACCAAAAGAATGAAAAACATCAAGAAGCCTTTGTTTGGCTGGATCTGTTGATAATGCATCTATATTAAAGTCACCACAAATAATAGCACATTCACCAATTTGCGCGCACCATTCCAGCATATTTCCCAGGAATTCTAAAAACGTGGCTACTGTACCCAAAGGAGGGCTATACGCAACAACTGTGGTATCTGCACACTTGACCATGAGAGACGCATAATGGGGGTTAATTATAGAAAATTCTGACATGACATGTCTATTTAGGTGTTCCTTTACGTAGAGCACCACACCCCCTCCCTTAATTGACGTGCACCCATATTTTAGTCAATTTTAGACAGAATTTAAAGCCCATGGTAAACGAGGGGGAGGGGGGTTGATGATCTTTTTATTTACATTTTCGGACCGCCAGCATTGCACCTGTTGCACAAGAAACTGAAAACTCAAATTCCCCCCCCCCCCCCCCCCCCCCTTCCCTCACCTCACCCCATGCTTCAAATCCTTCTAAAATTAACCGGTTTATTCGTTCTGGGTGACGTCCATTGAGTTTTTATTCAAACCATGTGTTTATTAACACATGGTTTGACTTATTACAGAGTAACTTATTACAGAGTATGACTTATTACAGAGTTAATTGCAAATTTTTAGTTCATTATTCGAGTTTTCGTGACGATTAAGCCTCTGTATCACGTCCCCCCTGGCTGTACAACTCGCCTGCCCAAGCTGCATCATCCCACCTTTTATGGCTTTTTAAAGATAAATACTGTAAACGACTTATTTTTTGCGGGCTCAATATTTCGCGATCTAGGTCAAACCTGAAGTTTTGGAATAGTTTGCGGGTTCTAATTTTCGAGGCGCGGCGGGATCTAAATATAGATTTCAATGTGTTTACATTTTCTCGGAATTGTTCACGGGACCATTTATAGTATGTTTGAAGTAAGTTCAGACACCCTGCTTAATTGCAAAGCCAATGGCACGTTTAAAAGTGACAAGGTTTCGTTCGCACGGTACTTTGTACAGATCTAGTTTTCATGTCAAATTGTTCATGTTGTACTAGCATTTTTGCCTTATTACACAGAAAAAGCTATAAATACTCTGAATATATATTTAAAAAAAAAATTATCCAGAGATAATTTTTTTTATTTATCTCTCAATAAACTTTAAAATTTAGTTTGCTTTAATATTTTAATTTAAAAAAATTAAAATTGAGAGAAAACTGGGTGAAAATGAGGAGTGAGCCAACATTCGGTGTGAAATCAACAGAAGTTGAAAAAATGCTACAGAGAAAACTAGGTGAAAATGAGGAGTGGGCCAACTTTCGGTGTGAAATCAAAAGAAGTTGAAAAAATGCTACCTTTAGGTTATGTGTCTCCGTCAAACTTGTTATCACGGCAAGGGCCAAAGAAGCAAAGATGACTGTACTCCCCAGTCAGCAATGTTCGCTTTTCTCCTGCCACAGCTAACTAGATGCATTTACGCCGAGGTAATCAATCATTGATCTGAGCACTACAAATACTAGGAATGGGCAATCTTTCTGTGTTCAAAAGAAAATAGAAAATCAAGCCAAAATAGGGGGCAGGTTACCTTTCAAGGATAACCTTACCCTATTGGGATTTTACGGTTTATATATATATATACAGGGTGTTTCAGAGAACTAAGGCCAAATCGCTCCAGCGAAAACTACTCATCACAACGAAAAAAGGCTTGTGTCGTTTTGGTCCTGGGCCAGGAGCCTATTTAGGAAAATTATTAAAGTCCGGAATAATTAGATTGTTAATTATTTGTGCGTAATTAAATTTTGTAATATTGTGTTTAAGGGCATGGTTTCAATTAGAAAATTGCTCAATATCATCGAAAAACACTAAATCAACAAATTGCAGAATGATATAAGGCACTCTAAGCATTTTACGGCTTTCTGAAAAACCACACAAATTCGCCAGGTTGTTAAGTTTCGGTTTATTATCGGAGCGCATGTCGGCCCGAGTGGCACCGCGCCTTGTGGAGAGATAGTGCAACCAACCTCTGCTGCGCCTGTCATCGCGCGACGCAGCAGAGGCTGGTTGCACTACCTCTCTACGGGGCGCGGTGCCGCTTGGGCCGACATGCGCTCCGATAATAAACCGAAACTTAACAACCCGACGAATTTGTGCTTTTCTTGTTCCCCCTGCAGACGCTTCTAGGCGAGGGACGTACCTCCGAGCCAGGCAGTGTAGTTCTCCTTGCAGGGGGGTGAGTGGAACAGGAAGGAACTGAGGTTCATCTTGCGGGCGTACGTGGGGTCCCTAACCAGCTGCTTGAGCTCCACCGCCAGCCGGTGCTTGAAGCCGGGCATCATGGACGTACCGCCCATGACCACAATGTTCTGCGACAGCGCCTTCCTCGCGTCCATTGGAGCCTGGCGTGGAGGGGCAGCCGTCAAACCTATACGCGGCTCACCGACATGGCTGTCGGCGACAGCAAGAGCATGCATGCGTGCACACATGCGCATACTCTCTCATTCACATTCGCACTCACAATCTCACTCACACTCCTGCTCTCATTCAAAATCGCACTTATTCACATTCACACTCAGTCACAATCTCTATTATTCACACTAACTCACAATCTCACTCATTCACATTCTCACTCACTCACAATCTCGCTTACTCAAGCTAACTCTTATACACTCACTCACCCAAATTCTCACGCACTCATACTCCCTCACAACCCCACTAACTCGTGCTCACTCTCACTTACTCACACACCCCCATTCTCACTCACTCATGCTCTCACTCATTCTTGATCATTCTCATTCACACTCTCATTCACTTACACCTTCACAAACTCACAATCTTGGCCTTCGAGCAGTATGGCAATCCATGAAACTTCAAAATTACATAACCGGTAATAAATCGGGAAAAAAGGTGGGCGTGCTTGGCTTGCAGATGTTCGGCTTTGCTCGGATCTTGCTCGAACCGGAAAGGGGTCAATATGCCCAAAGGAATGACGTTGCCCAAGAAATAGAGCACCATCGCACTGCACCACAAAACTGTCCCAACAATTATAACGGCTCTGAGGTTATGAATACAATTGGACCTCACAACAGCCAAACTGAGATTGTGCCCTAGCACGGCCTACATGTTTAGAGGTCGCACCCTGGCAAATGCGAACCGAGATTGTAACGACGCAAATGGCAAACAGAGCAAACACCCACCTTCAGGATGGAATCCAGAAGAAGCGTGGCAATGGACTTCATGTCTCCGTCCAGCTCAAAAAGTATCTCGGCTGCATACTCTCTGAACAAGAGTAGAGCGAAGAAAAGCAGCTTAGGATCACAGAGTACAAGTACATAATCTCCTTCAAAACGTCTCTATCCCACTGGAGTAGCAAATGTATCGTATGTGTATCACCCATGAGACAAGGTATCAATAGAAGGCTTGCAAGAACAACACTATACTACCTAGCACCATGAAATCGGAAAGGTAAAACATTTTGTGAAGAAATTGTGCCTATACTCCGTTCACCGTTAAACTGAGATTGCAGCCAATGCCACAAGCACGAGAGCCCGAGGTTGCTGCTTTGAATCTTTCTTTAGCAGAACGAGCACTTGTGCTACAAATGCACATCTCAAAGCCAGGAGCATGAACTAGCTCGCCCTTGTAACTTTGGCTGCAGTCACAGCTTAAAAGGGCCCTGCAATGCTATTTAAGCGTCTACCTTTTTTGCAGTTTCCACATCTCTTGTGGTTCGGACAACCCGGCGGGCATAGTGAGAGTAACTAAATATCAGCGTGTCATATTTTAACCGGACAACGTGGAAGCATCCTTTATCTACGGGGGCGCCCTGTGGCACTGAACGCGCGCGGCATGTGACGACATCGTGACGTTGTCAGTCATGGCCAGCTCCTGCTTTACGACTGGTCAGAGCCGCTAAAAGTTTCTTTTTAGTCGAAATGCCAAATATAAGTGGCAAGAACCATTTCAATTATTTATGGAAGTAGTTTTTGTTCAGTATTTTAGAACAGAAAAGAAACAAATGCAGTTTATAAAGTATGGAAACAAGAAATGACCCGTTGACATACCTGCCACCAAGTGGTGAAAAAGGCAGCGCATACTAGAAAGGGGTAGAGGGATCAGGCGCCGAAGCGTGACACATTGCTGTGAAGCGGCGAGCATAGAAAGGTCTCGGATGTACGCCGTGGCACTGCGGTCGTATGGGCTCGAGGATCCGACCGGTTCCGAGCACTCCGAAGGCCTTCGGCAAGCAGGTTTGGCTTGTGGTTTGGCCGTTTGGCAATTTGGCAGCGTGAAGTGGTTCCCGTTCTGAACTGATTTTTATCCCGTGTTTGCTGTCGTTTGTGGCCAATGAAGTGTCAGGACAAATTAGTATTTAATCGCGTAACAAATGCAATGCGAGCAGCCCTGGCCGCCTGCTTCATCCAGCCTATCCAACCCGTGCTTTAGTGGTGCCCTCTCTAGCCGTCGACACGGAGTGCGGCAGCCACGAGCGCTCGGAGCTCACTACCCCTCCTCTAGTTCACGGCCACCTAAGCCCGGACCAGGGACATCATGAAGGAGTTTATCTTTGGGTTGTTTTTGTCATTTTAATTTGCCTATAAGTTCTAAAATAAAGCGAAATTCGAAAAAAGAAATGTTTCACTAAGTGCGCTTAGATTTAGTGCGCTCAGTTCGGTGCATATTGAAAACCAGTCAAAAAGCCGTTGCAGGGCCCCTTTAAGTGTGAACAGAGTTTAGAAACTAACATTCTCCATCAAGATGCTATTGAATTTGACACAAAACACTATGACCCTTTCAAAACTACCTAGGCAGTATACTGGACCAGCTTGTTGCAGTAAAAGTTTTATGGCACAAAAATATCATTCTATGTTTTAGAGCATTCGTTTAATTAAATTAAAGGACCTATTGAATGGCAAACAAACTTTGTTATTAATATTAATTTTTGCCTACATATTTTCTTTATGGTGTTTGCCTCTTGGCAGGGCTATGTGCACAGCCGAAGTGAACTGTTTTTTGCAGTTTTCATGCGTCCCCATCATTTAAATTAACCTCGAGCCATCAGATCTATTGAAGAATGGCAAGTCGAAAAGGCAACCGAGCATTCGTCCTTGCGAGAAAAAATTAGGGTCATCGTTCCGGGGCCATGTTCACGAAATCTGAGGTTTACGGATAAATAGGAATTACAGAAATATCTACCAATGGGAGTTGAGAGAATGTTTCTTGATCCATCAACGAATGCAAAACACCCGGTTGTAACAATAGGACCTTCAGAGTGAACCGCGTCGTGCGTGAGAGGCAAAAGCACAGACCTTACGAATCCCGGAATGGTGAGGATCTTGTCCCCTTCTAGCGGGTACTGGACATCCGGCGGAGGCTTGGGCGGCTCCTGGACAGCAGGGACACGCAACAAGAACGGTCGTCCATTACATGTAGCTCGCTTCAATGGCAGCCCTCTATCAAAAGGTACAAGTGCCACAGTTGCTGGCTTCAAACGAAACAGAAGCCTTCGAGGTTCGGACAAAGTTCTTAGCACATATAAATTTCGCGAATGTACTGAAATGCATTGAAGTTTAAGAAATTCTACGATCATTAGTATGCTTTCCAGCTTACTAGTAGCTTCCGCTATTGGCGAGGACGTCAAGCTACAGGGAGCGCTTGGTCCGGGTTGTTTTCCACAGAGCTCGGTGTTTACCCGACACAAAACCCGTGGACTAAATTTGTTTCGTCACCCTCGTTTATCGAGCGCAGTGTGCAGACGGGACACAAGCGCCGCGTCGACGTTCAGCCGAATTTCGCACGATTGGTGCTTTGCGGGCCGAAGAGGAGCCTTAGCCGAGCGGCGTTCAATTACTAGGTCGGCCCAGCGCTCCGTCGGAAACACAAACGAATAAGTCATGTTCTAGTCGTCCCCATGGATTTAGTTGCATGCTTTCCCCAATATAGTCGCAAGCAGGGTGAAAACAGCAGGAAGATCTTTTAGTTTTCCAGCCCCCAGAGCGAGCTTCGACGACACTTCCACATTTCGTGGGCTTCGAGCGTGCACGCACGGACGTGGCGGAAGGCACCGAGTGCGTGCTGGAGGCTGGCCAACCGGAAGAGGCACCCTGCCGCCATCGTCCCGTCGACGACTCGAGGCGCCGCAGCCTTTCTCGATCGTCCGTGGCTCGTGAGTTACCAACTTAAATTATGCCACAGCGCTGAGCCACTTACACACTACAGTTATAACGAGGCAGCACAAACAACAATTTGACTGCATCTGGTCAGCCGGGGAAGTAAACGCGAGCTAGGTAGGAGCGTGATGCATGTCGTGCTCACTGTGACGTGAATGTGTCTACCTAGAGATTTAAAATTAGAAACTGTTTTTCTGTGTCAGTTCCTAATGAAAGAAAAAAAGGAAAGCTGTTTGAGCAAGTTTGTTTTAATTTAAAGTTTGATTATTTCGAAGCGTTTCAATGTCCCCATCGACTTTGGATTACGCAGAGTGGGCCGTACTAAATTATTACGAAAGGTTCAGTGCTTCACGAAATGACGTAAGAAACCAGGAAGGCAGTAGCGTACCGGAACGTTCTCAGCTCCGTGGCTCCGAGCGAAACCCCAGACTTGTAGTTGATGTCCCCGGTCCATTTTAGTCACAAAGCAGGTGCGCACTATAGTGCCAAAATAAAACATGGTGTAGGTTACGAAAGTAGTAAAAACAAAAACAAAAAAAACAACGAAACACAGGCACTCAAATTGTGACAAAAAATCGTTTGACAGAGAAATTCCCCAAGAATTCGGAGCCCACCAAGACCAGCGATACACCCGTGTTGCATGTTGTCTTTTCTCGTGGCGCACCAATATGGGCTTGGTGCAGAACAAAAACCTCAAAGAAAGCAGCAATTGCTCTTTCGTGTTAGCTGTGTTGCAGTCTGCAGATGACCAAAGCGATGAACTCTACAGGTGTCGAAAATTTGTTACAGGTGCTGATATATAGAATCATTCTCATTTAAGTTCTGCAACTCTGAAATGACAGGTAGAGTTATGAAGTGTTGCAGGTTTTGACAAATGAGGCACCAAGAAAAGCCTCACATGTACTTGAGTGAGTCACACAGTAAAGAAGATGCACATAAATGAATTCAACAACATCCCTGGTGAAGAGTTAAAAAAAAATGCCTGTTTTGAAATTGACTGAGAGTAGAAGCCATTAAACCAGAGGTTGCTTTACCACACTGCCTAAGAACCAGATGTATATGTATAAAACAAAAATAGCTCAGCAAAGAGGAACATTCTAGATTTACCTTTAACATCTTCCAGAACACTCTCTTTCATAGGCTCTGAAAAAAAGATAAAAAATACAGGAATAAAATAAAATGCTGCAAAAGTTAAAATAACTTCTGCCACCAAAATAATGTTGAAAATGTTTTGATGAGAGATGGGTGCAGCCAACATTTGATTCCCAATGCATAAAAAAAAATTTCATGCAAACTCCCAGATCAATTGAGCAAATGGCAGAAAAGAAAACATTTCATGCGCAACATGCTCTGCTCCAATTTGATGTTTTAAATACAATATGCCAAGCATGCACACCAGTGCACAGACTTTGACATGCTTTTAGTATTAACCCTGTTTCATTCAGCTTCAGTGCTTTAGCCAAACAGACCCCATGGCATATGCCCCATAAAAACAATAATGCATCTTGAAATAAATGGAGAAAAAAAAAAGACCCATATACTGTAACAGATTTTATTTTTGTGGGCTCAACATTTTGCGAATTTCGGAAACTTTGAAGTTTCAGAGATAGTATACGGGCACAAATTTTGCGATTTCGAGTGATATGCTCCGTATTTGTTAACACAGGGTGGTATACTCACAGACCAATCGTCCACAATAATTTTCAAGTTGAAATATTTGCAAAAATGATGTCCTTGCTAAATATAAGTCGTTTAGAGTAAGTAATGTAGCTAATCCCTCTCAATTCCTTCTCATAACCCTCTTTTACCAAAAGTCCCAAAAAGAGCATGTTAGAAGAAATAGTAAGCATTCCTTAACAAGCCCAGAATTTACCTACATCTAAAGGAGGTTCTTAAAATAAATTCAATTTCATAGTAAGCATTTTTGCCCATTTTTTCGTAAGCCAAGTTTCCGTTCAAATTGAATTTTGCACACAGTACCTTGGGATTTTCCTGGGATGTATAAGCATGGAAAATAAAGACACAACAATTGAATGGAAAAACAGGCTGGACCGGACGGCACGTCGGCCCTCTGTAGGAACCGCACAAATCCGTTTCTTAAAACCGACTGCGATGTAATTCAGAAGAAAGGTGCAATTAGATGGCACTTTTTTGTTTTTTTTTAATATTAAAGGATAAGTTCATCTCAGTAAAAATGACACAGAAAAAACAAAAATGTTTCTAAGAGCTAAGTATAGTTTGCATGGAACTATGAAATGCCATGGTAAGCCACTCAGGTGCTTATTCCGGCAAAATGAAGGGGATAAAATAAAAACAAATTCCAGACTCCTTTCTATCGTAACAAGCGCCATAACGGGCCAGAATGCAATTTGGCAATTTCATAAAAAACAGGAAACAAGATTCCACAAGAAACAACATGCAGTAAATAGATTTTTTGTACGTCAACATTTATACAGAAAAGTTTTTGCTGCATCTGCTAGAGAAATAAAAGAGGCCCTGTGTGTACGCCGCCATTTCTTCTCCAGGCCACGAGATGGCACTACCCGCCTTGAATCTGCAAACCATCATGCGGAAGGCAATGGCTACGCAATGTCATTTTTCTTAACAGCGTAAACTTGGGTTTCTTACTCTAAAGAGTGCATGGCAGCTGACACAAAATTGTACACTAAAAATCCCCCCCCCCCCCCCCCACTTTCCCCCAAAAAGAAAAAAAAGAGTCTACACTGACCGGACAAGATTTCTCCGAGAGTGAAGTCTCCAGGGGTTGGTCCGCTCACTTTGGCCGACTCCATCAGCTCCACCTCGATCCTCCTGGCAATAGACACCAAGAAAAAAAGCTCAAGTTTCCCCAAAACAGACACAAGATGCCACCACATTACTCTCAATGGAGCCAAGAGCAAAGAGGTGCAGCCCTTAGGAGAACAGCTATCAGACCCAACAGCGAGAAACAGCGCTGCGCACGGGTTCAAGAGGGTTGAAGCAATGGTAAGGTGACTGAAGCTTATGTCGTCTGCCATGTCGCTTGAGTACTGGCCACATAAGGACTTCATCACTCTTGTGAAGTCAGGTTTTGCAGCCTAGAATTTGTAGAATATCATCTTTAGGAATCAAGATCATTTAGAGGGGGTGCTCGCCAGCTTAGAATAAAATTAAATGTAGAATAAATTCTAAAAAGAAAAAAAACACATTTGTTATGTTTGGGGGCTGGTTAGCCCTTGGTGCGAGGAATGACTCAACAAGTCAGCGGCTGAATGTGATCTACTTTATTGCTCCACTATGAATGAACAGAACCATTTAGCTTATGCACCTGGTCAAGAGAAGAGCTATATAACCTAAGCTCTGCACCAGCTTACGTCAAGTTCCAAGTAAAAAAATTACCGCATTTACTCGAGTAATAGCCGCACCATTTATGAACAAGGCCCCTGCGTCTGCTTTCACGCAAAGCGCATATACAACCAATCATTGCGTTGCGCACAAATTACATAGCGAATAACTAGACAGAGAATACAATTCTCCATACAAATGCAATTGTCGCAGATGGTATCTTCGCGCGAAGACGTTATCTCTGTCCTGTAAACCGCTGGAATCATGCTGTCGACTGCGGTGATTGTCAATTCGCGTGCTCCGCGGAAAAGCGAACCCTGAGGTTTTCTTCATAAACAGTGCGGCTATTACTTGCGTAAATACGGTACTTACCGCCCTAGGTGGTCATGAAAGGAACTGGATGCAACCTTTTACAATGAGACTGATTCTCAACGCTGAGAATCCGTGCACAAGGAATCAACCAGGCTGTTCAGGCTACGTAACAGATCCAGGAAATCCTTGCACGCCACCCAGACATATTTAAAGAAGACGTCAATGGTTACACAGGCCCCTTGGTTCACCTGGAACTGGAAGATAGAGCTATCCCCCAAGATTTTGCAAAGATCGCTCCGTGCCTTTAGTTCTGTAAGGACCAATGGAAGAAGAACTCGATCATTTGCACCATCAGGGCATCGTGAACCAATGCAACATGCCGAGTGGGCCACACAACTTTTGATCGTACATAAAAGTGAAGGCACATCTCATGTTTGTGCGGGATTACAGGAGTTAACAATTAACACTGTTGACGCAGCAGCTAAGAAAGCGTCATACCACTAGCCAACATCGGCCGAAGTGTTCACAAATTTGAGAAATCGAACTGCCCTCTTGACCTTTGATCTGTAGCAGCTGTACCTAAAAATGAAGGTAGACGAAGGAACTGCTCCTCTGCCCACCGTCAACACTACCAGAAGACTGTTCAAAGTAAAACAGCTTCCGTTTGGCATTTCTGCAACACCATCCGTTTTACAGCACATGAAGACCACACTGGCCGGAACTCCGGGTGCGAGTGTTTACCCCGACAACGTCGTTGTCGGGGGGAAAGGCGATCTGAAGCACACAGGACGTCTGGACCAGGTTTTATTGAGGCTAAGCAAGGCAGTTCTACGCCTCAAGGAAGAAAAGTGCCACGTTGGCATTAAGTCAGTCGAGCTTCTGGGACACAGAATCGACGCTAACAAAGTGCACACCGCCAAAGAAAAGGTGCAAGCTATCTTTCAGGCACCTTATCCAACTGATAAGACTTCAAGCTTTTCTTGGGCTTCTCGCATCTTACGACCACTTCTCGGAAAATAGAGCGACTGTCGCTGGTGAGCTGTACGAACTTTCAGAAAAAACTGCACCCTGGAAGTGGGAGAGGAAGCCCCAGACTGCCTTTGATGCACTTAAAAGCATGATTCGCACATCAACAGTGCTTGCCCATTACGATAAAACCAAGCCTCCTCTGCTGTCTGTAGACGCGTCACCCTACAATATCGGCGCCGTACCAGCCTAGAAAAATTAACATGGCAGAATGGCCCCCCATCGCTTCCGCATCGCAAACGCTGCAATCCGCAGAACGAAAACTACTTCCAGGTCGACAAGGAAGGCTTGGCAGCAGTTTACGACATCAGCCTCGTTCCCCAGTACACCGCCGCCCGACAAATAACTGTCGTAACGGATCACAAACTTCTTCTTGGCATCTTGGGAAAAAAGAAGCTGGCGCCCCAACTCCTGTCACCCAGGATGACGCAATGGTGTCTTAAGCTCGCCACTTATGACTACAATCTGGTCTACAGGCCTGGACGACTCCATCGGAACGCTGATGCACTCGGTAGGCTGCCACGCCCGGCATAGTTCGACGAACCCGTCCCCCCGGCAGACGCGCACGCATTGGCTTCCACGCCAAGGTTAGAACTGTCGCCGTGTCAACTAGCAGAAATGACCCAACGTGATCCACTGTTGCACCGAGGGCTAGCAGCTGTTTCAAGTGGAAACAGCTGCCAAGGCAACTGTCACGGCAAGTGAACTTGCCTTGACAGTTGCGAAGGCAACTGAACCGCCAAAGCAAGTGTTCACTGTACTGCAAACTTGGAACAAAACTTTAGTGCAAGAAAGTTGCCTTATCAAAGGATCCAGGGTGATCATCCTCACAAGGGCAAGGAAGGAAGTACTTGACTTGTCACATGCGGGTTGCAGAGGAGTGGTAGCCATGAAGGCATGGGCGTAAAGTTACTTTTGGTGGCCAGACGTAGGCGGTGGCATTGAAAAACTAGCCAAAAGTCGTGTAACCTGTTGGCAGCATCAAAAGGCAACGACACTTTGGCACACAATTCAGGTGAACTCCGCTGCTTCTGTAGAAGGGAACATGATACCGGTTGTTGTTAATGCGTACACTAAGTGGCTAGGAGTACGCTGCATGCACAACATACAGTCAATCACACTGATCAAGGAATTGTGGAAACTTTTCGCAACATCTGGACTCCCTGAAAGGATTGTAATGGAAAATGGCCCATCCTCTGTTTCATCAAAGGTTGAAGACTTCCCGGAAAAAAATGGGGTGATACACATCACGAGTGCTCCGGCCCTTACCAGCCTGCCACAAATGAACAAGTGGAAAGGATGGTTTCCAAAACAAAGCGGGCGTTGGCGAAAAACCAGACAGAGACATCTTCGCACGGGCTGGCAAGATTTCTGGTTAAACAGCACACTACAGTCTCCACTTCGACAGGCCACAGTACCCGCCGCACTCACTTTCGGTCACAAGCTTTCCACTGCGCTCGCACGCCTTCGGCCTCAATCAATAAAAAAGGCAGCTTCCGACTGCCGCGGACGGAGAGGGGTGGCCTTAGCACAATCTGTCTTCCTCTGCAACTTCGTAGGAAGCCCTGCTTGGATGGAAGGAGCAATAACAAAGATTGGGACACTGGTCTCGGCTGATAAAGTGCAGAAACGAAGCGTCTCGTCGACACCTCAATCACATTATTTCTGGTGTCCAGACGGATAAAACAAGAAGCTCTTCGTCGAGTAACACTATCAAGCAGCCGGTAACAAGCCGACAGTGCACTATTCCGGCTCCGTACAACCTGCAGCCATTGCCGGAGTCCCCCGCGTGGCCCGAGCACATTTGATCAACAGCGCCCAAACTTCAAGAAGGAGCAGCAGCACAATCCAACCCGTGCGTCACAGCCACTTCCAACAAACAGGACAAGACAGGGCTGGCTTTGACTGCGACAACAACACCAAAACACGAATGGCATCCGGGCTCTACCTATAGAAGGAAGGGATGTTATGTCTACAATAACCGACATACCGCTGCCCCAGTTCCCCAGACTGCTGAAAACACACGCACCTGGCCCCACGGACCTTACACCTACACCCAGAAAGACATTGGGTAACCTGAGCCATGGCACCACACATAGTAGCGCAGTCACGTGAGAAGGTTTCCCCTTTTGTCCATAGTAGAACAATAAAGTCATTCATATCCATCCACCAACTTATCGAGCCCTTCCTCGCACCCAGGGCTTACCAAACCCCAAATGTAACGACTTTAATGCCTAATTACTTGTAAACAGCATATATTCACTGCAGAGTATTATAATTCACTGCATTTCTAAAACAAAGCTAACAGTGTATAAAACTCTAATAGACTTTTTGCGACATCCGCCAAGTGCCCCGGCCCGCACGCCAGGAATTGTGGGAGGGACTGGCCCTCGCCTAGCCTTGTCGCTTGCCTCCTCTTAAAGGGCAACTCCACTCAAAAAATCGACCCTATCGAAATGCCTGATATCGCTTTAGGAGGTCAAAATATGGTCATACCCAAAATATCACGTCAAACCGACGCCGCGTTACCGATTAAAACCAATATTAAAAATGTTCTCCCGGCTCGGTTAGCGGCCCGAAAGCGGGTGAGCAACGCTGGCACCGGGTGAGCTAGTGAAGCAACACTGGGCAATGACGTAGGTCTAGTCCTACGCTCTCGTACGGACGCCGCGAACGCTTCGTTTCCCGTGGCTTTCTGCGATTCTGCTGACGGCACGAGGTGTTTACCACATTATCCTGTGTTCTCCTATTTTTATTAGCGTCCAGGCAGTTCCTTTAATTCCAGCATTGCTTCCGCGACAGCGCGGAAGAGAGCAAAGCGGTGCTGCTCGCTCACGCGCGCGTCGTGGAGCCGGAGAGATTTGCCGGTCTCGCGTTGGGCAATGTCGAGCAGGATTTGTAGTGCTGTGGGTTGCACCAACAACCCGGTGCGCAACTCGGAGCTGCGGTTCCACCAGTTCCCAAGAGACCGGAAGAGGCACAAGGTGTGGGTCGGTGCCGTTCGCCGGATAGACTTCGGAAGACCGTTGACTCCGAGCTCCAACGCGAAGCTCTGCTCCCAAAACTTTACGTCAGACACCTACACACAGGATCTGCGGCTGCTGACAGTTGCGGGTGTCACCACGAAACAGGCGTCTTTGAAGAACGATGCGGTGCCGTCGCTGTTCGCGTACCGTCCGCCGGCTGCTCCAGCATGATCGGCCGGACGCAGCAGGTCGCGGCTGATCTAACTAGCGTGCACATAAAGGCACCTTGGTTTTAACAACTTAGACCACTTGTGGATAGATCTGTCAATCTATCTCCCATTATTTCGTTTTCTCGGTCCGCGCGCAAGAAACAAATACAGTCACGCTGCGCCGGCACCGACCGCGTCATATTTATAGCAGTCAGATTCGCTTTTCGGCCGGCAAATTTATAAATACACACTAAAAATTACTACATTTGGTGCATATTAACAAAGTGAAGCGGTAAAGAAAGAAAATGTGCATCTAACCTTCTGTTTTGAAACTCCACGTGCGACTGAGCCGACCTTGTCGGCGCGTCGGCTCAGAAGCACGGGACTAGAACTAGGTCATGCCGACGACAAGCCACTAGTATCAGTGTTGCCAAGCTGCTTCAACCGGTAGTTTCGGTTTCACCGTGCCGCCGGACCGATTTTTGCATTCGCGATATCTACAAAACTATGCACACTACCTAAAAACAAATTATATCTCGTGATTAAGGGTCGCCGGCTTCGACTAAACAGATCATAACCCAAGAATGGTAAAAATGGAGTGGAGTTGCCCTCTAATCCTCTGTTTTCCGATTTCATTACCTATTTTTATCTATCCCAGTGTACTTTTTATTGCTTCCAAGTGTTTCTATTCTCATCTGCGTGCAATATTTCTTGTATATATATAGTATTTGTGTCGTTATTTCGCCTTTTTCAACGAGAGTACCGACGAACAACACGCCGCTTCGCACGTCAATCCACGGGTGAGTACTAATCTTGCTACCGATTCCTATTGCACTGTTAGTTGTTCATTATGGTTCGTTTGACCCGCGTGCAGTCAAGAGGAGCCGTTTATGAACGCTCGCGCACATGTCATAGGGGTAGGCAGAGCTCTGAATCAACAATTGCGACGCGAGAGCCGAGTGCGCTGTGATTTGGCCACACCCGCGCTCGCTTTGACTCGTACTGTAGCGTGTGCCTTCGAGTGCCGCTTACTTGACCAAGATACAGCACGCCGCCGCAAACATTCGGACAAATGGTTCGCGACGGCGAACCATTTGTCCGAATGTTTGCGAAGCTGAGGCATATATGCAACGCTGCGGCGCCTGACAACTGCGCGCTGCGGCGCGGTACTTTCGCAAATGCCTACGGCTCAACGTCGCGGCTTGAATGCGCCTATAGAATGCCTTCGTAATCTATCTGCTAAATGGTTGTCAGTTGCCAACACCCTTTTTCAAGTGCAGGGATGTTTTACCGTGAATCATTTGTCCGAATGCCTGCGAAGCCGTAACACCGTTCGTCATATCCAACGTGCGGTGCCTGACAAACTGCGCGCAGCGGCGCGAGCCCTTCGCAAGCGCCGGGGCCCAACGTCGCGGTTTGTATGCGCTTATGGTATGCCTTCATAATCTGTCTGCTAAGCGGTTGTGCAGTTGCAAACACCCTTTTTCAAGTGCAGAGATGTCTTGTCACCCAGGCAGTCACCGTGAAACTCGTAGTTCCTTCGATAATTTTATTTCTGGAGTCTAGATGTCAGCTGATGCTCCAGTCAAGATGTCAGAAACTGACAACCGCCGAGGAGAATGATCATGAATGCATGCCAAAGGCGCACACCAGCCGCAACGTTGAACCGCCGGCGCTTGCTAAGGGCTCGTGCCGCTGCGTGCAGTTGTCAGGCACTGCAGCGTTGGATATGCCGAACAGTGTTAAGGTTTCGCAGGCATTCAGACAAATGATTCGTGACGGCAAAGCGGCGTGCTGTATCTTGGTCAAGTTAAGCGGCACTCGAAGGCATACGCTACTGTGCGAGTCAACAGAGCGAGCGTGGGCGGCCGAATCACAGCGCCGTCGGCTCTTGCGTCGCGATTGTTGATTCAGAGCTCTGCCTACTCCTTTGACATGTGCGCGGGTGTTCATAAACGGCTCCTCTCGACTGCAAGCGGGTCAAATAAACCAAAATGAACAGCTAACAGCGCGATAGGAATCGGTAGCAAAGGTAGTACTCATCCGGGGAACGACGCGCGAAGCGGCTTGTTGTCCGTCGGCACTCCCGTCGAAAAGGCGAAATAAAGACTCAAATACTCTATATATACAAGAAATATTGCACGCAGAAGAGAATAGCAACACTTGGAAGCAATAAAAAAATACACTGGAATAGATAAAATAGGTAATGGAATCGAAAAACGGAGGATTAAGAGGAGGCAAGCGACAAGGCAATGAGATCTCAAGGCACAGCGGCCAGGCGTGGGACAATCTCTCCTAGAATTCATCGCGCGCGGGCCGGGGCGCTTGGGAAAATTGCAAATCGTCTATTCGTCCTTTACTAGAATATGCTGACATATTATGGGACCCACATTCACAATCATATATAAACCAGTTGGAAGGGGTTCAAAGAAAATCTTTTAGATTCATTTATAATTCATATGGCCAAGAATCACACATTTCACCGCTGTACACTGTGGACTGCCTGAGTTGTCGTGTCGAAGAAAAGTAAATTGCCTAAAATCTTTACATCACATTATACGTAACAAAACTTGTTTAAAGTTTGATGCTTATCTTCAGTTTAACTTGAGACATGATAACAGACAGAGGCAAGAGAAACTAATTCGTGAGTTTCTTTGCAGGAGAGATGTTTTAAAATATTATTTTTTTCTGCGTACTGTTCGTGAGTGGAACAAATCGCCCCGCAGTGTGATGGACATTGTCTCCTTTGCTTCATTCTCTAGTGCCATTGATGAACTTTTCTTTGTTTGAATGAACTGTACAGACTAAGTTGCTTATGCATTTTACTGTATGTTTATAACTACTTATTTATTTTGCTGACCATTTTTTTTCTTTTGTACATTCCATGCCTTGGCCCTCAAAAGATGGCCAGCAGTATCTTTAAAATAAATTAATAAATAAATACATAATTGACTTTGTCTTTATTAACCTGCTCATGCTTCCAAAGAAGAGTTACCCACGCAGTCAAGAAAGAGGCAAAACCAAAACTGCAGCAGAACAAACTTCCAAACATCCCGTGGCCCATCCAAAAAGCAAACTGCAAGAGTAGGGCACAAACTCACCTGTGGATGGCCAAGCCACCAAGGGGGATGGCCTGCCAAGCACTGAGGATGCAGACACCCTCGTAGATGTGTTGCGGGTTCAGGAACGTGCCCCAGAAACTTTACACAACAAGATACCCGTCTCCGAAAGCTCCCAAACTCAGAAAAAAGAGCTCAACCCTCCAGCAGTGAAGTTATCGAGACTCAAACTTTTCCGTGTCCCGACTTCGCAAAGGCTACACCTCGAAAGGCGCTTGTTCCAGCGTCTACAACTAAGTAACCCAATCTTTTGACATCTAGAAACTCCCAGTTAGCGAGCGAGTCAGCACAAAGTGTACCATCCTTGTTTGTTATCGAGCAAAACATTATGAAGGATTCGAGCCCGAGACATCATCCCTGCAATGGCGGTGACTATTCAGAATTCGTCGACTCTAATTGAATAAATCCGCAGAAAGGATATGGGCAGAGCAACGCTCTCGTAGTATCCGGAGTCCAAAACGAGGGCCGTGTTGATGCCGAGCGTGTACAGCGCCATCAGGTGGGAAGGAACAAAGACTATCGCTGGAACCTGTGCGGAAAACAAACAAGAGCTTGCAAACAAATTCATTAAATAATTATTTGTGACGGTTCCGTCAGCAACAGCCTAGAAGTTAGTCGTTCTTTTAATTAGCTTTGGCATAAAAGGACAGAAAGAAGCAACGAAGGATGCGACAACAAAAGAGGATGACAACAAACAATGTCTGCGCCAGAGGGGCCCTCTGTGCGCGTACGGATACAAATTCGAGATTAACAGCACCTGAATGCAGGTTACGAGCATGAAATAGTGAAAGCACGAAGCATAAAGGGATATAAACGAATGTGTCCAAAGATTAAAATAAGACACGAGTTTGTACACTTCATTTTTGTGTCTTTGAGTGTTGCACACTTTTAACCCTCCGTCACTATGGTCCTTTCAGGTCTCTAGGTGTAGAGGCGACTTGGCATTTACGAAGAAACCAGTATCATTTGTAGGTTGCAGTGATTCAGACAGACAGTTTGGGTGGATAACAGAGCAAAAGCAATGCATACCCCCCAAGTTGTCACGTAATACACAAACGACTCGGCTAAGTAGCTGTACCCAGCAGCTGCTTAGCCGGTCACGTGATGTGACTTGAAAGGTCAGACTGTATAGACCTCACATTTAAAATGCACCAGGCATTCCAATCTCACCTCAAAGTGCTCGAAGAGCACCTGTGCAACCGTGTTTCGGAACAATGTGGGGCACAGGACAGACTCCGCCACCACCACTCGGCGATCCTTCGGATTCACGGAGAGGTACCTAGAGAGGTGGAACACAGTCAACATCAAAAAGCAGTTCAAAAAGTCAAAATAATCTAACACACTATGTACTTCACGTTCGCACAGATTCCAGGCCGAGCTTTTATTCGTAGATCATTAAAGCACTTTGGAACACCACGGCACCTCCTTTTTTTTTTAATGAGAAAAGCTAAATGCTGCTCATCCTCATAGCGAGGAAGACGTGAAACTAATTCAATGGGTGCCGTCTGGCCTGTGCCAGTCATACCTGGCCTCAAAGAAAGGAAAAGACTGTTTTCCTGGGCCCCATACTTTCCACTCTGATACATGCAGCATGTGCGCACAGTTGGAAGTGCAGCTATGACATACTTGAAATAGAGTGTGTAGAAAAAGTCCTTCAACATCGCAGTAAGATCTTCTTGGCCCCAGTAGTTCCATATGCCTTGAACCTAAAAAGAAAAATTCAAGATGAACCTCGTGCCACAGTTGTCTGCTACGTCAACCCTTCCACATACATCAATCAAAAGGTAATCCATTCCCTCCCGCTCTTTACTGTGACTAAGTCTGAAATGCCAAATGTATGCAAGGTGCATCCACGGGTACCATTTGAAAGCATGCGGGCACCTAAAGCCCACAATTAATTTTTTGCGCTCAAAGCACTAACAGATTACTATACCGTAATATCCCGAGTCATCGCCCATCCCCGAGCCATCGCCCACCCCATTTTTTGGGCCAATATCGATTTCCGAAAAAACACCGAGTCATCGCCCACCCCTTCAAATACCCCAGCGCGGACTCTGCGATCCGCGAACACTCATCCTACCCGAATGACGCGGCCGCGGACCTTACAGTTGGAGGACGTCCGTGACAAAGTAAAACGAAGGAGGGAAAGACACTTCTTTTTGTTTACGCATTTTCTCCGTGAGCGACCCCAAAGTGGTCGTGTATCCGTGCGAAAAGAAAACGATGGAGATAACAAAATAGGAGTTTGTTAACGTAACCGCGGAGTGTTAGGTCAAAGTCTGTCTCCGCCGAAGTAAGGTCACCGCGAACCCGCTCCTTCTTCCCGCCCGTCGCGACCGCTGTTGTGCAATATTTTAGGCAAAGCCAAAGCGTGAATAAAGCTTTGCTGGAACGTCCTACACAGACGTTTGCAGAGCGTCCCAAGCGTGCATTGATAGCCCGCCGTGCACAGACACACGTATGAACGCACCAAACAAGAAAGTTGCGCAAGAGCTTGCAATTGACAAGGCGCCCGACTTGGCCCGACGCCAAAGTATTTGCCAACGCGACCGCCGGCTTTCCCGCTTTCCCAGCATTGCTCTTGGTCGCTTCTTTGGTCCGCTCGCTCGCTCGTTGCGCCTGGTCGGTTTTTCTATTTTCTTGTAGACTTTTCTTTCTTTTTTTTTTTTTTTTTACTAACTAGGAGAACATAATGGTGACATTCTTTCACGGAACAAACGTTCGTGCTATATGCAGATCGGCGGTGTTTCTAGCGCGTATGCAAGCAACAAAATTCGCTATAGTAAAATATTCTTTCGTGAGCTTTTTTTTCTATAAAACAATGAAACTAAATCGAGTTTTGAGTTTGATGTATCTCTTGTGCATCAGCGCTAGATACGCAGAGAAAAATAGGCGGTTTTTTCCGTTTTTTTTTAAGTGTTTGTGCTCACCCACTGAGACATCGCCCACCCCACTTTTTTAACGAATTTCAGGCGGTTGGGGGGTGGGCGATGACTCGGGATATTACGTAGTGTGTTGCAGGTTAGTGGGACAAGCATTTCTCGCAAAGCCCTCCACTCTTTCCCCTTTAGCAAAGTGAAAGTGGGAGAGGATATAAGTGGAAAGAAGGAAATCACCAATCATGGTGAGCACAGGGCTTTGTGGGAGGGACCTGCCCTGCTTTTCTCAACCTGCAACAGGTCTTGTTTAGACACCATTCAACATATTTTTCAGTGGAGTCGCATATATTCAGGGAAAACCAGGAGTCAAACCGAAACCAAACAATCATCACGGAGGGCTGACATCACAGTTGGGTTGCTTCAATCCGCACCACCAGTACAGATCAACATTTAAATCAATGCACGGTGATCATAAAAGTTATGCTTTAGGAATCCTTTTTTTTTTAATAATGAAGATGTGCCACTTGTGGCTTAGTGTTGGCATCGCCCAAATATTCTGAGTTCTGTGACGTCATCGTGCATGATCAAAAAAAGAAAGAAAGAGAGAGGGAAGTCACGAGCAGCCAGTTTTCACCCAACAACTTTCTTGTGGGAAAGAAATAAATAAAGAAGTCAGACTTTTAGTTGGTGATATTTTGTACGACTCCCATAAAAATCTAGACACACATCAATGTCTCTTCAAGCCAGGGGCGGATTTATGGGTCAGGCCAGGAAGGGGGGGGGTCTGCTGAGATATGACGTTGCAGTTGAAACGTTGCCCAGACCTATTTTGTTGACCCAATATTTGCAATGTCACCAAAATCTAAACTTTTGGCTGGTGTATATCAATGATTTTAATAAAACAAATGTGACGTTAAAGAGCTTGGGGGGGGGGGGGATTGCACACCCTCCCCTCCCCTCCCCCCCCCCCCCCCCCCCTTCTTCCTATATCCACCCCTGCTTCAAGCGTGCTTCAGACGGGGCAGTTTCTCCCAGAAACTTGACGTCGCAACACCAGCAACATGGGCCGCAACAACCGATTGCTAAAATTTGCCATTATCATCATTAAATTTGATTTTTCCTGCACTACTTAGACGCACAGTTATGCATTATAAACGTGTTTTTATACTTTTAGATGGCGTTGAGAATACTAACTCACCTTTCTTAAACGGTTGATTTCCAAAATCCAGCAAATTCAAACCAGAACCAGACCTTTAGTTGCCATCATCACTGGCACAAGGCATCACGTGAAAATATTGCATCCCCAATTGGTAGCTGCCGCTTCAAATGTCTTCAAGTTGCTCGTTTGTTTTGAGCTGGACCCGATCTGAGCAATTTGTGTCGATCTAGGGAAAGCTAGGGAACAACCCGACAGCAACAGCAAAATTGCCGAGAAAGTTGCCCGGTCCGAAGCGGGCTCTAAATTTCATTGCATACTTTATGAAGAAAAGTTATGAAGGACTGGTTCGCTTGATTGAATCCCGGACTAATGCTCACTAGACAAAAGCTCACCAGGCAAAAGCAACCCATCTTTTCACAGACCCAAAAAAAAGCTTACCAGGAGAAAATTTTATGTTGGTCTTAACGTGAGCACGGAAAACTTATGTGCGTGCGTGCAACACTACAATGCAACGATAAATTAAATCTGACAGGCACATGGCTTGTTTATTAAAGTGTAAAAAAGTTTTTTTTACTGACTGGTTATGAGCAAATGCAGTCCCCTACTGCCTCCAGCAGTCTTGGTAGGTCCCAAAGTACCAGGAACCCATCGCAAATATTTTTCAGACGTTTCCAGCATAGTTTGAGTCAACCAAGCTTGGTCTTATCTTTCGGTGGCCGAAGTTTTGGTCCCAAATTGTTGCGTCTGTGCCTTTCAGGGTTATATGTCGATACCGTAGCATGAAATGGGGTACCAGGAGAGCTATGTTTAACAAATGTTTTGTTTCTCCTAAAAAGAAACGGAAGCGATGATATCGCGTCTGATTGGCTAGAAGTTCAAATGACGAAAGAGCAAATTTTCGTCATTTGAGCCTCAAACCAATCAGCCGGAATATTGCCACTTCCGCCACTTCCGTTTCTTTTTAAGAGAAACGAAACATTTGTGGAACATACACCCTATCCCCCCCCCCCCCCCCCCCAATTCTCCTAAAAATGGTGCAATGTCCATCGCATCCACACTAGCATAGCCCTTGTTTCGCCCAGGTAGCAAAAACAAAAAGAGCAAAGAGGTGAGTTTTTGTCCGGGTCTCTGAAAAAAACGGGTGAGCTTTTGTCCGGTTACCCGCTTGATCAACCAGACAGCTGACGGATACGAAAAACTAAGTTACAATGTGTTCGCCCTGAAAACAAAAACAAAAAAAATAAAAAAAAATGTAATAACAACGAAAATACCTGATCCGTATTGGGGATAGGGACACTGCTTGGCACGATCCATCTCGGACTAGGTTCACGTGCGTATCCACACCTGAAGAAGCAACAGCGAATGAAAACGCTGTCGAAGAATGCTGGCAAACGACCTATGAAGACACTGCCTCCGTAAAACACGGCTGTGGAGCTGAAAAGCATGGAACTGCAGGAAGAGAGCAGCCGCGATGAAAAATATCTCGAGGCGACAAATGTTTAAAAGCTGGATTAAAACTAGCCACACTCCCTGCAACATGCAAAACATTCGAAAGCAATAAATGATCACTCACTTGGTATAAGCTCGGCCAAAATCGAAAATTATCGAGTTCTTTTCGGCGACTATACTGATTCCTTCGTAGACTGGCATGACCACTGTGACCGCAAGAGGTTACAGCATTTAAAAAAATTACTCTAAAACAAAAACCTCACCACTTGAATGCTAACACAAGATCACACCCCAAAAACACCAAACGCGACAGCCGCCATATTCTTCGACGATTGGAGCAGACGAAAGCGCCCTGGCGTTCGGTTCTTTAACTATCTCTTCGCCTATTCTAAACACAACATTCGGAATAGGTCAGCCAAAAAAAAATCGTTCGTCAGTACACTTACACTTATCCTTCTTTTGACATATTTATTTTTACAAGAATGATTGTTAAGCTGATGGCGACTAATTGAAACCGGAACTATGTTGGTCGCCACGCGTGCAAAATGAAGTCCGTATTTTTTTGTTTTGTGTTTACTTTAAAGCTGGTTCGCGCGATGTAGCGCAAAGGTTCTAGGCGTACAGGTATGGCGTCAGAATCAACAAAGCTTCAGCACCTGAAGCGTCTTCTAGCAAAAACGTCAACTCAGGTAGCGTCAGAAGCCAAGACTCCGACAGTTCAAAATACTGAATCGTTCCGGGATGACTCGTGGGACCCTGACGACAGAAGCAGCGTGGTAAGTGTCCAACACTTTGTAACTCTCGTAACCTTTCGAAGCATGGCTAGTCCGCAACGCCGGTTCCAGCAGAGTATTCGAACGTATCAGCAATCGAAGAGACTCCCCCTCCGGTGAGCTAAACGATTAAGTGCTACTGTCACGACCCAAGCTGCCCAAGGCACGGTGGCCCAAGGTCGACATTACATTTGGACCTTTGAAACCTTTGTGCTACTTGTCGCCATCTGACGACTCTTTTTCAGACCAGTAGAGTGTTTGCTGTGGCCACCAACAGATGGCGAAATCCAGTCACCATCCATTCGTTTTGACACTTTCTGAAACCGGAACAGTTGCCTTTTAAGCCGTGAACGTGTCGACCGAGCATTGGCAACGACGCATGACTATACTCCACTTCACCGCTTTACCGTAACCTTTTGGAGAAAAGTATCAAGCGTTCCTTAAAATAATATTGAAACCACAAATAATAGTAACAAATGGGCGGTTGCATTGCAGAGAGCAAGTCGTCTGCTTCTTGCGCAGGAGTTCTGGTGACGTCAGAACGACGCCGAGCTCTGATTAGCTTTGACTGAGAGGATAGAGGGTGGACCCACTGAGTGGACCCACTGATCTCTATTGTAGTATCAGTGGGTGGACCTCAAAACAAGCTGCCTTGGCGTCTACTATCCTTCATTCAGAACCAATCAGAGCTCGGCGTCGTTCTGACGTCGCGCAAGAAGCAGACAACTCGCTACATTCTTTTATTATTATTATTATTAGTAGTAGTAGTAGTAGTAGTAGTAGTAGTAGTAGTAGTAGTAGTAGTATGGTGCCTGGAACGCATCTCCGACTGGTGTGTTTACCGCGTCCAAAAAAGTGGTCCCTCGATTTCCGCCTGATGACGTCATAGAAATGTCAGGCTGTCGCCGGTCGCGTTCCTGGCGGCATACCAACAGCTGTGGTGTATTTGGCAGACGCCTGTTCTGCTGCAGGTCGCTCTCCAGTGTGGCAGTACACGGAAGCTTCGGCAGCCAGAAGTTAGGACGCCGTGACGACAGCGACACTCGCGTTTGCTTGTGCTACTCGCAGCTTCTCGTTAGAATTTCTACGACCAACCGCTAGGATCGCGACATGCAACAGCATGACACTTCGGCTTCTGTGACGTCATTTGTTGCCACTACGGGGCCACGTAATGTATGGGCAGCATAGGACGCTAAACACACTAGTCGAAGACGCGCTCCGGGCACCATAGTAGTAGTAGTGGTATTTAAATCTGTATACGTTGTGGCATATACTGCTCGAAAGGCAACCCTTATCCGAATTTGAATATTCAGACTTTTGTAGTTGTGCAGAAGTAGAACCCCCAAAAGGAGTGGGGGAAGGACGGGAGAGGTTTCGACTGTGGTCGCCTGTGGCCCTTGTCAGTGAGACTGTGACATCTTTTGAATCGTGCTCAATCGACTTCTGATCCTCGAAACCCTTTAGGATAATCTACAGGGTGATTCAAGGAGAGGCCAGGCTCCCTAAATCGACCGCAAAATTCGGTTTCTAAACCTATTGCGCTACGACTTTGTGCTGCGTTGCCCACGATGATGATAATGAGGAGGAGGAGGATGCGGCTTGTTCCCTTTGAAACGGGCGAGCGCGAACTAAGTTCGTGCCCAAGCCTGGGAGCGAGGAGATCTTAATGCTCCCTGAGATGGATCTTATTCCACCAATCATCAAGTCTTCGTTTAGTGGCCACTACAAGCCTGTGCAGGCCGCTAAAAGGCCCCTTTATCTGCGTAGCTGCAGAGCTTTGTGCATCAGAGTAGTCTGCTTGGTTGCGCCCGATTTCAGTAATTGTGAAGCCCAACGCCTCAGCGAGCACTAAGGGGCTCTGCAGGCGTGGGCACCGGGACGGCTGAAGTCCCGCACAATCTAGCACAACGTGCTCCACCGTTTCATCGTAGCCTCCACAGACCCGCCATGCGCTCGAGGTCACCGTAGCATCAAACCGGCGTCTGTAAACTAGTGTCCGGAGGGCCCCGGCGCGCGCCTCAGACAACAAGCGACTGCCCAGGCTGTTGTCGTACAGCAGTGCTTTCGATGCGATGGTTGTTTTGTGGGTCAGGTACACTTGGAGCGTCGACTTTGTTTGTGCGTCTTGGAGCCATTGTTAGGCCTCGTTGTCACGGACTTTCTTCTTAACCTCTGACGGCCATTCCCTTTCTGATGACGCTTCAACGGGGTCAGAAAAAAGGCCATACTTGTGCTCAAGTTGATGAAGGCGCTTCTGCCAGCGTGTCCGCAGCCCCGTCAGGTGAGTGTACATAAACAACCTCCTGGCCCACCTGCAGCTGTCCATATGGCAAAGACGCTCGTAGTAGGTAATCTTGCTGGTCGCCTCCCGAGCCTCAAAGGAGGACCAGCCCAGATCTCCCTGAACTGCCTCGTTGGCGACCCCCCCGTGGCAGCCCAATGCCTGGCGTTCAATCTCTCTCTCTGTCGGCTCGGACATCACCGGGAACGCATACTACGGCATTTGCAAATGTCAAATGCCGTAATATGCACAAATGGTGCTTTTTTTTTTTTTTTTTTTTGTAAAATTTGCAAAGAGCGAATTTACCGGAGGAAAAAGTAAAGAAAGAAAAAGGCTTAGCTCCTATGGAAACGCAGCGAAGCCACCGGTCTTCAAACAACACGGCGCCGTTTCGCACGGGAGACAAGAGATGGCGCAAGCGGTCTCGACGCCAACTGCCGCCAACGAACGAGCATACGACGCCGAGAGCCGGCGTCTTTAGCAGACAAGCAACTGCAGTTCCTTGTTGTTACTGCACCCGTTTTTGTTTCTGCGACTGTCGCCGCCTGCGGAACGCGCGCCGCTTTTGAGTCGAAAAGATCGTCTACAAAAGACGCCGGCTCTCGGCGCCGTATGCTCGTTCGTTGCGCCATCTCTTGTCTCCCGTGCGAAACGGTGTTGTTTGAAAACCGTTGTCGTCGCTGCGTTTCCATAGGAGCTAAGCCTTTTTCTTCAGTTATTCCTTAGCTAAGTGCGCTCTTTGCAAATTTTACAAAAAAAAAAAAAAATGCACCATCTGTGGGCAACGCTGCACAAAGTCGTAGCGCGATAGGGTAAAAACCGAATTTTGCGGTCGATTTAAAGAGCCTGGCCTCTCCTTGAATCGCCCTGTATATATATATATATATATATATATATATATATATATATATATATATATATATATATAACCTAGAATTTTGACCGAAACGTGGCCAATGTACGAGCCTGCATGGTCGCATGACCGCCACGTGACATTAACGTCTCCGCTAAATTCAGCGGGGAAATTGAAATCAGGTCTTGAGGTCATACGACTTTGTCACGTGACGTCCATTTCCCAGCTAAACTTAGTGGGGAAAGCGACGCCACGTGGATGTTAAGTTTTCCGCTAAATTTAGCTGAGAAATTGACGTGACGGTCCTTTATGATGCTTCTTCGTGACGGTTTTCTCGTGGAATTCGGTTGTTAAAACAATAAATGTATATGCACGGACGGATTTGCGGGCGGGCGACAATGCAAATCGCCGTTCTCGCTTGCGCTCTTGCTAGTTAGTTGATCCAAAGTAGAACGTGGTCAGCGTGTTAAAAAAAAACAAAGTCTAACACTTCTCTTTTTTTTCTTTCTTTCTTTCTTTTTTTTTTTTACAGGTGGGAAGGTGAACAATATGGCTAATACTGACGTAATTACAAAGAGATGCTTAGGTACAACAACAGTCGCCTCGGAAACAAAAAAGCTTCCGAAATACGGTCACTATAAGAACGGATATCTCCCTGAAGCGTCTAATTTGTGCGGCTTACTCGCGTTATCAGTCAAAAAGAACTTTACTAATGAAGTCACCGGCTAGTAGGAATTTGGCATCTATGTTGCGACATATTGTGACTGAACCTTGTTTTAAATGTTGCTAATCTTTTTTTCTTCATTTTTTTTTTTGCTCAGGTGCATTTATGCTATATTTAACTAAACAGATGCACCATCTTATTTCACCTCTTTGCAAAAAATCGCAATCTGTTATCCAACCGATTTTTGCGGTCCTTTCAAAGGGCCCAAGGGCCATCGGGTCAATTTCCGCAAATATTCGTAAAAGTACCTAAAAGGCGATAGCTTGTTTGTCCCAACAGCATTGCTCCTCTCTTTGCGTAGATATACGCGTGCTTCATTACGATACTACAGGCTGTCTCAAATAGCGGTCAGGCTCTTTAAATCGACCGTAAAAATCGGTTTCGTTGCCTATCGCGCTACGCTTTTGAGCTGCATTGCCCACAGGTGGTGCATTTTTTCAATAGGATTTGCAAAGAGCGAACTTACCTGAGGAAAAAGTAAAAAAAAAAAAAAAAGAGAAAAAGGCTTAACTCCTACGGAGGCGCGGCGAAGTCATCTGTCTTTGAAGACCGGTGGCTTCGCTGCGTTTCCATAGGAGTTAAGTCTTTTTCTTTGTTCTTTTTCCTCCGGTAAGTTTGCTTTTAGCAAATTTTATAAAAAGAAATGCACCACCTTTGGGCAACGCTGCACAAAATCGTAGCGCGATCGGTAAAGAAACCGATTTTTGCGGTCAATTTAAAGAGCCTGGCCGCTATTTGAGACACCCTGTAGATAACAGAAAGAATAAAACATAGAGAGGAAGAAACTGATCTGTTCTTCGTTCTATCTGTTTTATTTTCTTCTGTTGTCTAGTATGCTTTACCAACACGCTCGTTAGGAATATAATTTCATTGCGATAGTTGGCGTCGCGTTCGTTCACCTGAGCCGCTCTCGCTCGTGCTCCCGGCGCGAAGCTCGGGCGACGGACCCGACGATTCAGGAGGTAGCCCTCGTCGTCTCGAAGCTGCATCGTCAGTGCCGCCCAAGCTCGAGCGGCTACGAGATCTGCTTCGACAGAAGGAAGACGCCGGGACTAACAAGGGAAAGGCGGCTGGGCTGCACGATGACACGCCGCTGGTCCGCTCCCATCGCTTCGGCCCTCCTCAAGAAAACGTGTCCACGGTGCGTCGCTAATTTCGTTTCTTTTTCTTTTTTTCACATTTGTTTGCGGGTTTATTCTGTGATTCAGACCCTGTGGGTAGGTTTCCGTGTTTTCGGATAAATTCGTAAAACTCCGAAGAACACTCGCCGGTAAAAGTGTGGATTTCATCCGGTAAACTCCGAATTGTGATGTGCCCATGCCGACCCCCCTCCCCCCCCCCCCCCCCCCCCCCCCCACCTAAAAAAAACATAAAAAAAAACGTTAAGTTTGATCAGTGCACAGGGTCAATGGTCCCGGGAAAATGCCATCACAGTTATCTTTCAAATCTCAGACCATTGTCCAAGGGAATCTTCCCGCTTATCTCGTCAAGGTTCATTCAGGACAACAGGTCATTGTACTTTCGGGTCACGACAATAGCCACGGTTTCGGTTTCCAGTCTGGGCCGCACTATTTGTGCAACTTAGAGGAAGGAGAGGTTGTGTTTTTGTAACAGTAAAAGATGTAGACCATAAAGATTGCATAAACTGGGCAAGCCTCAGTTGAAACTTCTCTATTACATCCTTTGCCTCCTTACCTCGCGCGGCCGCGGGGTAGGTTGATGGAATAGGATGGATGAATACGAACTTCCCAGCAACTACCTCTAGGAGTTTACTGATTTTAAGGTATCGCCGTTTATCCAAGCAACACTTGTGTGCAACTTTTGTCGTGGAACAAATTAGTATTGTCAATGGCAATGGCGCGAACGCCCCATACGAGCTAAAAAAATATACGCGCGTTTTTTTTATTAAAATCTAGGATACGTTTACACCCGGATATTATTTATTTATTTATTTATTTATTTATAATATGAAACACTGCAAAATTTAACTCGGAATATCGGAGAATTGGGAATCAAACAAAAATAATCTTCGAATTTTCGGCAAAAAAAATAGTTTCGAAAAACACCCTTCTAATTTGACGTCAAGTAACGCGGAATTTTACTTATTTCGGGTTGATCTGGAGCCCTGACCTGGACACTTGGCGAGAAAGTCGATGAGAACTGGCGGCTGTGATTGGCCAACGCCGCACTTGACCTTGACGCCGGCCAATTATAGCCGCCCCGTACGAAAATGTCAGATGCAGGCCCGAACAAAAAATGCCGGTTCCACCTGGATCTAAAATTGGGGCACCAGTTTGTATCCTGCCTGGAACCGCGCAGTTCCAGACGCGATACAAACCGGTGCCCCAATTTCAGATCGAGGCGGAACCGGCTGGTTCCAGTGGTTCTGCAGAGCCACTGGTACCGGGCGGTACCAACCGAGATACAAACCGGTTCCCCAGTTTCAGACCCAGGCGGTGCGCCGCCGGAATTCCCGCTGGGCTCACCACTGGACTCTACAAAAGTATTTCGCGCGATGCCCTTAGCCGTTACAAGCGAGAGATCGTCGCGATTTCAGACCCAGGTGGAACAGCCTGGGTCTGAAATCACTTAAAAATGCGCAAAAAAAGAACGAGAACAAATAAACGAAGAAGAGTGGACGACAGGGCGCCCTGCATCGCCAACTTTCCTTCGTCATTGTGTGTGTGTTTTTGCGCGTATGTGTTTTTCGCTTTCTTAGGTGATATGTACCAAACGGCCCAAATTGAAGAATCCACGGTGAGGGCGCAGGCGAGCTGTTGTAAGCTCAGACTGGGTGTGAAAAAAACCAAAAGTAGTAGTGACAGAGAAAGAAGTCCCCGACTGACTTCTTTCCTTGTCTCTTCACTTTTGGTTGTTTCAAGTTGTTCCACACCCAGTCTCAGGTGTTTTAACAAAATAGTGGCCCAAATTGCCGCTTTAATGTATAACACAAACATTGCTTTCCCTGGTCTGAGATGCGTTACAACTTTCAGATCGTCCCCGCTACTTTTTATACACCAGCATGCGGCCCGGACGCCACGCCACTCTGGCGGCGCTGCTGTCGGTAGCGTTCTTGTTTGTAAACAGCGAGCTGACATCTACCTCTAAAAAACTAAAAAAAATCACACTTTTTGTTTAACTTTTTGCAAGGTTTGATTGTTGCGCCTTTTATTTTTGTCTTTCTTTCCTTTTTAAGACCGAGGGATCATTCACCACCCCGGATCCCCAAATGGCATGCACGTCTCGACACAAGCGCCGCAAGATACGCAGAGGAAAACTGCCAGCTGCGGGACAACGGACACTCGTCGTCGTCGTGGGAGCTGACGTTCGCGAGAAGGTGTAGTGCTCAGAAACAATGCATCATGCAATTGTGTCGTGCGTGAACTAGTGAAATCACGGCGGAAGAAGAGAGAAAGAGAGCTGTCTCAACGGCGCCACCTCCCCTCAGAGGGAGTGTGCCGAAGGTTTACTCTCCTTTCTGACAAACGCCGAGAGATGGCGCAGCGTGACAGGAGGCTCGCGGAACTATCCTCATTCGCGCACACGTTTGCCAGACCGCGAGGCGCGCAACAGCATCTGCGTGCGGTGCCCCTATACCTAAAGGCCGATTCACGTATACTTGCGACCGACTCCGACACAACCTGTGTGTAAGCTTCTTGCTAATGCTAACGACAGACAGGGCAGCAGCAGCAGCGGCAAAGATGGCTGTCGTAAGCGGCTTAAAAGCTGGTTCTATCGGTCGCAACGCACTCGAACGCAAAATGCATGAACCAGCACCTTAATACGATCCCCTTGTGTAGCGGAGTCGGAAGCGGTCTCAAATTTTTTACTTGAAGTATCGTGGAAAAGAAGCGAGCCTTCCCTCTTTTAGGAGACACGACGGACGCGGCGGATCCACCGCGCATGCGTCGGTGGCGACGCACATGCGCAGTCTTTCCCCTGGACGTCGTACCGTCTGCTTGCTCACGACGGCCGCTTTGAAACTGCGCTCCCGTTATAAAAATAACGCAATTCCACATTTCTACGTGGGCACACGCAATGTCCTAAGGTTCAAGAAGCTTCCAGCTCGTCACACTTCAGTGGTAGATCTGCATATCACGGGCGCAAAGCGAAACTTACATGTCCCGCCCCAAACCCGGCGCTCTGCAAGGCGGCTTCCTCGCGAGCGCGAAAGGAAAATTTGGTGCGTGTGACCCCTTCTCCGCCAATGAGGAGTTGGCGACGAAAAGGAAAAGGACGGCGATACGCCCTAACCCGACAGTGCCCTTGCCAGGAAATGTGCGAAGCACGGGTGTAACCTCGGCCCCCACCTCTGGCCTTGTTCCGACACCTCTCTCTTCCTCCGCCGTGGGTGCATGGGACATCCCGTTGTCTTGCAAATTAACTGTGCCAGGATAGCATCTCTGCCCGGAGGGGGGATTCGATACCGCACGCGCAAGATCCAGCGCAAGATGGTCTTGAAGCTACCGGAAGTCTGCCTTGTTGCGGAAGGAAATGGCACTTTCCTGGAGCACGGCTCTGTCATCCTTGATGAAGCTAGCGGTACTTGCATAAAACAAACATTGCCGAAGGTCTTAATTTCTGGTTTCGCTCTTTTTCTGACGAAATTCAATTCGCCTTTTTTACAAACATTAAAAAGGATATTGAAAAAAAAAAAGAGGGACAAAGAAGATAACAGAATATACAATATTATGAGATCTTGTAGTACTCTGCTCTGTTCGGTTGTTCAGGTCCTTCTGGTCGGGTCATGTTCTGGAGGTCCCTGTCTCTTGAGACATGCGTTCCGGTATTAAAACGAGGATGGTTACCTTACCAAACATCCAATCGTGTATTCGGTATTTTGTTTGTGTGTGTGTGTGTGTATATGTGTATCAGCGCTTGGGTGTGTAAATTCTAAACTCCATGCAATTTTTTTGTGGTCTGTACGCGTCAAGATAGCGACATCCTTTGTTCATGTTGGTGCCGTTGACATTACATAAAACGCGAGATATTGAATACAAAAATAAAAATAACAGCGAGGTACGAGCCAAGGCTACGAGCTTTCGCTGAGCGATGTCAGTACGCGCACTATGCGAAATCGTCTTAAAAAGATGATAGACAAGATGACTGCGTCTTACCAGTCCTCATCTTGGAACAAAGACCATGAAAAGAAAAGGCCCGTTCATTCTTTTTGCTTTTATTGGAACCCGCCTCAACGTGCCCCCCCCCCCCCCCCCAAAAAAAAAAAAAAATATATATATATATATTATTTACAAACATTGTTTAGGTATTGCCAAACCATTCAGCCTCCACCCAAAACGTAGTGCTAGTATTCACGTCAGATCGCAGAAGTTTCAGGGCGAATCGCTATATTATTCAAACGTCATAAGCGGCCAACGTAGCCCTTGAATACATGAAGCAGAATGAGCCAGTTACCGAGAAGGAGCACCATTTTCCCATCGAAATTTTCGGAAAATCACTTTTAACTTTTTAATAAGAAAGCGGTTAGCTTGGAAACTTTGGCAATTTGCCATCTGACCCCGGTTTGTCACAGCTACATTTTGGGCAAAGACTCAAATTAAGAGTTCAAGGCAAGCTTCTCACGCCCCTTTCCACCTTAGCAGAGCGAACGGAGAGGAGGTCGCCTTCTCTCCAGCGTTCGCTCTGCTAAAGTGGAAAGAGCTGCCCCTGAAACCTATTTCCATTTATGCTTTTTTTTTTTTTGTATTATATCGTGGAACACTGACCTACGTTCGGGCAGCTTTAGCAAGAAAACAGCGTCTCTCGACAGCAGAATGATCAACGGCTTCTCCGGTGTTTTCTTAACAGACGCTGTACGTCCAACAACGCAGTCTCCTGGATGAACTCCTCGCCATGATGAAGGATCTGAACCGGGCCTTGCGCGAGGATCCACAGCCGCTGGACCACTGTGATCCTGGACACTTTGTGGCCGCGTTACGTGAGGAAGACTCGACGTGGTACCGCGCCAGGGTCTACGACATCAGCAAAGACAGCGTCCACGGAGCAGCGCAGTACGTTCATCCAGAGTATTGCCTTGTATACTGACAGAATGAAAACGGCGTCTTTTTTGAATGCCCGGCCACCAGCACGCGCTTGTTGCCCTCCGTCATGCTTTGGCTGCGCGTGCACGCTCGAAACTCGGGGAACAGGAAGCTCGTGGTGCTGGAGGCTGGACAACTAAAAGACTTCCCCGCCGTTCTCATCTTGTCCGTGCTAAGAGCCGGTTGGACGTTTTCTCTTATTTTTGTGCGTGAATTAGTTAATTAATTTTTAAGTGCAAGTGCGACGTCTGTTTGAGTCTATAGACCTTTTTTGTGTACTTTCGACCTCAGCCACCTTATAGGCGTATCCGGTATGGGCGACGAAAAAATACGAAAACGTTTCAACCTGCAACTAGAAAAAAAATAAGGGCAGGCAAAACGATAATGTGTGACGGTTACGCTTATATCCTAAGTGTCGTCTACTGGCGTGGCGACGGCAAAGCAATGTTTTCGCCCATAGTGGAAGTGACAACAATTCAAGTTGGCGGCACCCGTGAAGAAAGGGTCTATTGATGGGGGTGAGATGATGGCAAAGGAGGCAAGCCCGCGGTATACATTTGCGCCACCTTGTTCGCTGTTGTTCACGACGTCCGTGCTTTTCAAACGCAGGAAAGGCGGCTCGGCGACAGTCTTCTTCGTGGACTACGGCCATTGTGAGGCGATGCCGCTGGACGGTCTTCGCCGTCTTCCAGAAGCCCTTCTGAACGATGCAGCTTTCGCGGTTCCTGTGGTCCTCCATGGGGTGCCCGCGCTCTCGTCTCGCACTGCCACCGCGCTTCAGGGCAAGTTCGTCGAAGCGCAGGTCCTCGTCGACGAGCGTCCTCAACAGGTCGCCCTGTTCACCACCGACGACAACGTGCGTTTAAACGACGTCATCAGCACCTTCGATCATTGAGTCATTGAGTGTATGGAAGCCAGCACTTTCGAACATTTAGTCCTGTCGTCATTGAGTCTTCGGACGTCATTAGCACCTTCGAACATTGAGTCATTGAGTCTTCGGACATCAGCACCTTCAGACATCGAGTCTTCGCGCGTCATAGGGTTTTTCGACGTCAGCATCTTCGAACGTAGAGTCACCGCGTCTTTGCGTCACTGAGCCCTCGGATGTCAGCACCTTCGGACGTCAACGCTTTGGACATTGAATCATTGAGTCTTCGGACATCAACAACTTCGCACGTTGAGTCATTGTGTCGTTCAATCTTCGGGCGTGAGCATCTTCAGACATCGAGTCACTGCGCCATTGAGTCATTGAGTGTTCAGACTTCCAATCGGCGTCCGTTAGAAGCCCATTGGGAGCCCTTTACCCAATGGGCTTCTAACGGACGCGATTCTAAACTTATTTCCTGTAAATAAAAGCGATAAAATCGGTATCTCGTTTACCTGATGAGAGAATTTCCGTAGAAGGTTTTCGCCGTCCCGCAACCCTCTCCGCAACCCGCCACGATACCTGGAACTCTACAGTCAAGGCCATCGGCGTGCAGGCGCGATAGCGGCTTTATCGTTGCCGAGGGGGAAAGGCAGTCTACGGAAACTCCCTATTGTGCGCTTACTTTCCGCTGATATTAGGCATTAGGGGGATATTAGGGGGGGGGGGGGGGTGCAACGGGGACTTGAGCACTCACTGACATGTTCCAGAGGGTGCTGGGCAATATGCTGAGCCCCCGTACGTTTGGCTCAAGGCCTACTGAAAAATTCCTGCACCCCTCCCTTCTCCCCTCCGTGGTGTTCCCGTTGTTGCTCAGCCCCGCCAAGGCACTTGGCTAAGGGCAACCACGTGGCTCTGTTCTTGTTACTGCTGGTATCCCAACAAATCACGGCTCAACCTTCGCCTATGAAATTACAGAAAAAACAAAGTAAAGCAAAGTGCCAGTAAACCGCGGACCCGCAACAGCTCCAAACAAAAAAAATGTGGAAAAAAATTTGGCGCTTGCGGTTTGCATAGCACCCCAGTCCGGGATTTCTCCTCTCTTCGCCTGCTTGGTCGTTTTCCTGGGACCCTCCCGTATTGGTGGCAATCAGTTCACTGAACGACGTTTCATCGACACGCGATGTTTCATCGACAGATTGTTTCGTTGACGAATCATTTCATCGACAGCTCAAATTATCTCCTTTTTTATGATAAGTTGCACGAGACTCGCCGCGCAGCGGCGTGAAGGCAGGCGGAAGGGTGGGTTAACGCGCACCCCGGTGATACACGCGTGACGAAGTGTCCCTACAGCGTGCAGTTCGCGTGACGAAATGTCCATACAGCGTGCAATTCGCGTGACGAAGTGTCCCTACAGCGTGCAATTCGCGTGATGAAGTGTCCATACAGCGTGCAATTCCCGTGACGAAGTGCCCATACAGCGTACAATTCGCGTGACGAAGTGTCCCTACAGCGTGCAATTCGCGTGACGAAGTGTCCATACAGCGTGCAATTCGCGTGACGAAGTGTCCATACAGCGTGCAATTCGCGTGACGAAGTGTCCATACAGCGTGCAATTCGCGTGACGAAGTGTTCCTACAGCGTGAAATTCGCGTGACGAAGTGTCCATACAGCGTGCAATTCGCGTGACGAAGTGTCCCTACAGCGTGCAATTCGCGTGAAGAAGTGTCCCTACAGCGTGCAATTCGCGTGACGAAGTGTCCGTACAGCGTGCAATTCGCGTGACGAAGTGTCCGTACAGCGTGCAATTCGCGTGACGAAGTGTTCGTACAGCGTGCAATTCGCGTGACGAAGTGTCCATACAGCGTGCAATTCGCGTGACGAAGTGTCCCTACAGCGTGCAATTCGCGTGACGAAGTGTCCCTACAGCGTGCAATTGGCGTGACGAAGTGTCCCTACAGCGTGCAATTCGCGTGACGAAGTGTCCATATAGCGTGCAATTCGCGTGACGAAGTGTCCATATAGCGTGCAATTCGCGTGACGAAGTGTCCATATAGCGTGCAATTCGCGTGACGAAGTGTCCATACAGCGTGCAATTCGCGTGACGAAGTGTCCATATAGCGTGCAATTCGCGTGACGAAGTGTCCCTACAGCGTGCAATTCGCGTGACGAAGTGTCCATATAGCGTGCAATTCGCGTGACGCAGTGTCCTTATAGCGTGCAATTCGCGTGACCAAGTGTCCATACAGCGTGCAATTCGCGTGACGAAGTGTCCCTACAGCGTGCGATTCGCGTGACGAAGTGTCCATATAGCGTGTAATTTGCGTGACGAAGTGTCCCTACAGCGTGCGATTCGCGTGACGAAGTGTCCCTACACCGTGCAATTCGCGTGACGAAGTGTCCATACAGCGTGCAATTCGCGTGACGAAGTGTCCACACAGCGTGCGATTCGCGTGACGAAGTGTCCATACAGCGTGCAATTCGCGTGACAAAGTGTCCCTACAGCGTGCAATTCGCGTGACGAAGTGTCCATACAGCGTGCAATTCGCGTGACGAAGTGTCCATACAGCGTGCAATTCGCGTGACGAAGTGTCCCTGCAGCGTGCAATTCGCGAGACGAAGTGTCCATACAGCGTGCAATTCGCGTGAATGTCCCTGCAGCGTGCAATTCGCGTGACGAAGTGTCCATACAGCGTGCAATTCGCGTGACGAAGTGTCCATACAGCGTGCAATTCGCGTGACGAAGTGTCCCTACAGCGTGCAATTCGCGTGACGAAGTGTCCATACAGCGTGCGATTCGCGTGACGAAGTGTGCCTACAGCGTGCGATTCGCGTGACGAAGTGTCCATACTGCGTGCAATTCGCGTGACGAGTGTCGATGAAACGATCGTGTCGAGGAAACGTGTGTTCATGAAAAGTTGTCCTCAAAATGTAATTCCACGAAACGAGTTTCGACGAAATGATACTGCACTCACGGGTTGACCATGCGCGGGGGAACGCGCAGCACATTGCTTCTGTCTACCCACCCAGCCGGCTTCTTCGTTTTGTTTCTATATTGAGCAATGACGTTCCCCAAAAAACACAAAAATTTCCTCTAGCTTTTATTTTTTTTTATTTTTATTTTTTGCGGTTTGAACAGTTACGAGGGTTCTAACCCCCAAGGCAAGAGACGCAGTTTGCCAGCAGCAGTAGCAGCAGCGCTGCTGCTGGCAAACAAGTATAGGTGGCAGATATGGGATACCGGTAGTGCTTTGTGCGCCCGAAAAAATAGGACAGATATAATATATAACAATATCGCTATTATTTTTGAAAAAATACAGGTGTAAGCGTGCTGGCCCACGAAAGCAAAGATACTTGTATGTGGGACCAGGCAGCCAACAAAATACCGTGACACATTGAACACTGGCGAAACAAAACAAACAAACAACAATAATGTAGGAATTTGTGCAACTAATACGCACTAAGTAATTATATAATTATTATTGCGCGAGCGTGAGGCACCATTCTTTTACATTCCGTTTTACCGCACGAAAGGATAAGCTCAGCAAAGACTCTGGCAAACTGTTGAACATCGAAAGGGACATAGTGTCGTTTCAACTTTTTTCCATAATTTGTATCTTACGAACCTTGAACATATCTGTACGCCGCAAGTTTCTTTTTTTACCTCTTGTTTAAAAGTTCTACTATAATAATTACTTGTTATTATCACATATTTATGAAACTGATTAAATGACAATACTTCTAACGCGCGCATTTTTCTTCAATGTCTAGTTTATCGAACACTGACCCGTAAGAAATATTGTTTACACTATATTTTATGATTCTATCAATTCCCTGTTTTTTTGTACTCGGAACAATTCCCATATATCGTAATTCCATACCGTATAACTGATTCTCCTTGAGATCTGAAAATAGTTCTCCGCAAGTCTACAGAACATGCACTTTTTAGCTTGAAAAGATACTCCGATACCACCCGCATTCACTTAATAATATATTCGATTTGTTGGTTCCAAAGGAGATGTTGGTCAAATATTAACCCCAAATATTTAACCGAAGAGTCATAAGGTAATGGTCTACACGTGCAAATGTGTTGAGCATGATCATGAAGGTGAAGATATATATGCTTGGTACTAGAGTAATTTGTTTATGGGGATTACGAAAACAGACTAATTTAATTTCATTGACGTTCCAGGATTGGTGCGGGTGCAGATGGTCGTTCGAAGGCAAAGTGTATCAAGGCGCACAGAAAACCTTTTGTTCTCTTGTGTGTCGTGTGGAGTGTATAAGATCCCTTTTTCATGTAACAAGTGCTATGTGGGACAAACAGGAAGATGTTTGAATGACAGAGTAAGAGAACATTCGTATTCGCTCGAAGCCACGGTTGGTGGGCTTTTGCCACTTCACTGCAGAGATTGCAAATGTCGGCCTGATTTTGGCAGTGTCACCATGGGCACACAATGGGATAGCGTGACGAGAGACATTATAGCGGCCTTCCACATTTTGTGTCATGGGCGTTCACGTGTCAGTGAACCTTCCTTGGCGCTCTCTGCAAAATAGATATTCGTCCTGGGGGGAAAAAACGAGTCACGTAGCAAACGGGTAGAAATGTAGATTACTGACGCGCTCACGGTTGGCGAGTTTGGCCCTTTGTTTGTGGGCAATATTTTAAAATACTGTTTTTTTTTGTCTCTGTTTCCTTGATCAAAATTCTTCAGTTTCGATATACAGCATTGTTTTGTCGGTGTTTGTTCCTTTTCGTAGTCCGAGTTTTTTTTTTTAGCTCTTTTATCATTATGTGTATGCATTGCCTCCTCTATACTCACAAAGCCTGGCAGTTTGACGACGGAGCCATAGCGTGCCCGGTTGCAGATTTGGAGCGCGAGGATCTGGTAGCACGGAGCATTAAAAAGCCATTTCTCGGGGAACCTGGACGTCAGCGCAGAGCTTTTGCAGCGGCGAGGACCCGAAACACACTTGTTCGCTCGGGAGAAGTGTGTTTCGATGTCTCGCCGCAGCGGGGCGCCCGTCACGTGGCTCTGCTGTCATCCGTTGTCTGCCGCTTCACCTTTTCCATTTTCCAGGCTTTGTCAGTATATAGAGTGTATGGTATATGCGTCGGGATTCTTTTTTTTCTGCTGCTTTATTTTGTTGCCCCGAAAGTGCAAGGTCGCGTGGCCCTATTTGGTGCAATAGTGATCTCGGAGAGAAGGGCGAGGAGGAAAACGTTTATGCTGGTGGTCCGGAGATCGCGTTGAGGGTACGTTTGCCGTGAATAATGACGGACGGCTAGAGTCGCGCTCTAAGAAGAGCGGGGCGTGGCTCGAATGAATGTTCAAACATTGTGATTCGATCCGCAGTGTTTTTATCGGCTAATGCAGCCGTCTCATTGGTGACGCTCACAATTCGTCAAGCGCGACAGTTTAAGAAACCCAGGGCTTAAAAAGTTCACGAAATTGCTTCGTGGGTCCTTCGTCGGCGTCTATATATTGTCTAATGCCGCAAT